TAAGACTCATACACATTTTCTTTCTTAAGTATAACTCTTGACATAAACATTAGGATTTATATTATATTTCTTAGTCTATAGTCTCCCACCTCAAAAGATTAAATACCAAACATATAATAATCTCTCTCCAATACAACACCCATACAATAAAACTTTTTAAAATTTCCATCATGACTACAAAATTCCAATGTTTCCACAATTGTTCATTATATAATGGTGGTTTGTAAATTGCCGCAATAGGTAGTATAAACAACGATTTTGACTGCTCTAAAAATTACCACTAAAAATGATATTTTTTGCAGCAATCAATAACAACATTTTTAAAACAACAGCAAAAACTATTTTCAAAATAGCCCCATTATAATGTCTCGTGACACTCCCTCCTATGCCCTAGCTCCCGCTTCAATTCGCCTCCTGTAATAACCCAGATTTTGACATTGCTAATTTTTTTTGGAGTCTATAACTCCAAATCATAAACCATATTTGCAATGGTAGTTTAATTGTAGTATTTTACTTACACGGATTTTTTCGTAATTTTTGGACACCGATGAAAATCCTTAAGGAATTTGTACATATCGGTACAAATGAGTATTTCAGAAATGTCCGGTGCCTGTTTTGTAAACTAATTTCACCAATATTTTTTTAAAATATTATGATTTATTTTATGGATATTTTTTTTGTAATTTTTGGAGACCTAAAATGATTTATTTAAATTTTATACTAAAAAATTAATTAAATTAAATATTATATTAAAATATCTTAAAATATATCTAAAGTCACTAAATAGTTTTTAAACTTTTTTCCCATTCTATTTTCGGCAACAGAGAGAGGTTTTGAGAGGTTAAGAGATAAAAGAAAAGAGAAAGAAAAGGAAAACTAGGATTTGGAGGCTGCGTTGCATTTTTTAGTCCGTCGGGTCAGTTGGAAAATTTGCTCATCTTGCTAGAAGAAATTCATATCATATTTATGATTTTAAATCTTTTATATTTCTTATATTTTTCACTCATATTTGTGTTTTCGTTACTAAAAAATATGAAAAACTTTGTATTGACAAAACTTTTACTGCGTAACTTTTTGTATGTTTTAGGCATTATAATTATGAGCATTTTGACTATTATTTGAAATTTTTCACATAGTAATTTTGAAAATACAATGATTTTTGTTTATCCCAAAATTTATTTTAATGTCTAAAATTAGTAGTATAGTGCAATAAAAGTCTTAAAATATTATTTTATTCAATTACTGATATTTTAATAATGTTTTAAAAATGTGCATTTTTTTCTATTAGGATTCTTAGTTGTCTACCGTTATGACATTTTGACTTCTTCTTAATTAAGCTTAATTATACATTATTTACTACAATACATTGAAAATATATGTGGATATATGCTTGAGTAATAATTGGTCGTTATTACTGTTATAGTATTGTAATAATAATATGCGTGTGTGAAACAAATAAGTAAAGATTGGTTGACCCGTTGGTTGGAGATTGATTGACCTGTTTAGGATGGTGGATCGACGGACTTTTCTTTAAATACTATGATTTGATGTTATCCTCTACTAATTTAGGTGATACACTGATTAGGAGTTATAAGAATATCATTATTGTGTCAATGGACAAAAAGTGACAACTAGAGCCAACGGTTTACTAACATTAAAAAATACTATGATAGTCAGGACTTCAATTCTTACTTGTTTAGGGTGACTACTGAAATGCATGTTCTTAAGGCATTATTTTTATTATTATATGGATTTACTGTTATTATATGAATTTATTGTTATTGTACGAATTTATTATTATTGCATTACTCTACTACTCCTGTCACTTGATTATTATTGTTACTGATATAGATACTGATACTATTATACTACTGATTCACTGTACTGATATTAAGAATGTGATATACTGAGTATGTGATATAAATTGCATGAATAATATGTATACATTTTATAGGATTTTACTATATTAATTTGATTTTGGCAATCTTTATTTTGAATTGTTATTTTATTCAATTACGGAGACAAGATTGATTTATGGATTGACACTCTTATTGATTTACTGGCTTTTGTACCGTAGTGCTTTATTATTTATAGATTCTATGACTATTGCATTTGAGTTTTGATATTCTTGTACTGATTAAATGATCACATGAATGTAACTGTTATAATTTGACTATTGACATGCATATTGGTTCTTTACTGAAGTTTGAATTCAGTTGTAGTTTTTGGTAATCTACTGGGCTTTTTAAGCTCATTATATGTGGTTAAATAATTTAATATTTGGGGAGACGAGCATTAGTGTGAGGCTGATCAATTTTCTTCAGATTTTGTTTCTTTATGTTATAGTCTTGAGTAGTATATATGCTTTTTAAGAATGAATACAGATGTGTACATTGATGTTTTAAATTATAAAATCTGTTGTATTGTTTATTACTGATATATGATATTAGATAGTTGTGAGTCTTGTATATTAAAAGATTAAATTAATAATTATTTCAAATTAGATATTGAGATGTACATCACACCTCCATCTCCCAGCCAGCCCTGTTCTCCCTCTCGTGCCCTAACTCACACTCCTTCGACATCGTCGCCTCTCTTTATATTCAATCACTACCGCCACCATTTGTTCGTTTGTTTTCCACTTCTCTCCTTCTCTAAAATCACACTCTTCTCTTACTACTCCCCTTTTGCCAGTCCACCTCTCTGTTATGTATCTCATCATCACTGACCTCGTGAGAGCCCTAGTAGATATCTAGACATATTTGCTACCGTTAGTTCCCTTCACGTCAGTTGCCAATCATAAGCATGAAAAACTGAATCCTTGTTCATAATCTCACCATCATCTTCCTCAGATTTTTACTTCAGTGCTCATCCTTGTATGATGGGAGATTTGTTGGCATCTCTAGTCACATAAGGTGCTATTTTAGACTACCCTACTCTTTTATGCATGATTTCAATGTTGGAATAGATGGTAGTTATGAAACCTTGTTTCGAGAAGATTTGGACTAGGAGTAAATCTTTTGCATCATGTAATTTTTTTTTTTGTTCAGTCAATTGATCGCCTCTTCATTCCTGCTTTGGATGCTTTCTTGTTCTGACACACATTAGGCTTTTTTTTACGTGTTATTTGTGAGATTAAGGTTTCGTTTGAGATGGCTTTCTTATTGCTTCTTAAAGTAGTTTTTTTGAACAAAAGTAATTTTTTTTTTACTAAAAAGCTGCTTTAAAAAATAGTAAGAAAACAGTCCCAAACAAAACATAAGTGGGTGTGCTTTGATGCTCACTTGCTAAGTGATGAAGCTTTAAAATGGAAGGCTATCTATGGAATTTAGCTTGTAATTAAGTGACGTCATCTTCTAGACCTTTATTCATCAAAATCTGATATTTTTTGTTAATTTGTATTACAGCAGTTTGAACAATTTCATGTAAAACTCTGTAACTTGATGCTAATTTCAAGCTAGTATAGAGAAGTAAAAGACAAGGCAAAACTTCTTCTGTCATTCATAAATATCGGTGATTTTGATTCATGAAAGGCATTTGATCATTGGTTTTCTTAGTTTTTAGGCTTTAACATTATGAACAGCCAAAATAAATTGTTTGTTTGTTGATTTTCATAAGGGGCTACTTATTTGTAGGTATTTTGACTTTTGAGTGTATTGCATTTGAAATAAAGGTGTTTTAAATTTTGAGTATTTAGTTTGTTTGCATTATATTTGTTATCACAAAATTCAATCTTTTTTACATTATATATATATTTTTTAACATATGCTAAGTTTTAGCATTGGTTTTAATCACTAGTAAAAATATTGCTTGAGCCTTCCTACAGCATCACTCATGAAATCGTAGCAAAAGACTTTTCAAGGAAGACAAAAGCAACAGTTCCTAAACCACTGTTAAAAATTTAGTATGCATTTAACTACTACAGTATGTCAAAAAAGCGTTGCAAAAGCCTAATTCTTTATTAGTAGATGAAATCTACTATATACAATTTATGCTTCTATATGATATCTAAAGCTCCCTGAACTATGTGTAAGGGCATCATTTGTAATTGATAGCAAATGGGAGTAAAATAATTTCAATTGGATCCGAAATCATGATTTTTGTTTTTTTTTTTTATATTTTCACGTAAACAATTTAGTGTCCTCGTAATTCTTTTTGATTTGCTTGTTTTGTTATTTGCATAATATTAAAACATTAAAGTTTTTCTAAAATATAATAAAAATTAAAAAAATAAATTCTTAAAAAGAAAATATTTAGTAGGCATTTAAACTGCTGCAATAGGTCAAAATTTACTAGGCATTTAAACTGCTGCAGTAGGTCAAAATTAGTACTACAAAAATCTAAATTTTTATTAATGCATGAAATATATTATATACAATTTATGTCTTGCTATATGATATCTAAAGCTTCCTAAACTATGTGTAAGGGCATCATTCATAATTGATAGCAAATGGGAGTAAAATAATTTCAATTGTATCAGAAATCATGATTTTTGTCTTTTCTATTTTTTTTGGGACATTTAGGCAATTTAAGACAAACTCACACACACAACGCATACACAAAGACTCGAATCCAAGACCTCTTAGTTGGAAGCGTAAGCTCTTTTTATTTGGTCCGGTGTAAGGATGCAGAGGGACATTCGGTCGTAGGCAAAATCCCGCCTATACCGAGGTGTACCGGTCGGAGGACCTAATAATTGTTCCAACCAATATGCCAAGATGAGTTATGTTCTTTTCCAATATTTTCACTTAAACAATCTAGTTTCCTTATAATTCTTTTTTATTTGCCTGTTTTGGATATTTATATAATATTAAAACATTAAATTTTCTCCAACACATAATAAAAACTAAAAGAAACAAATTCTTAAAAAAGGAAACAATTGCTATTTTGAGAAAAACATTTTTTCTAAAGTTAAAACTTCACATTTCATATATATTTTACTATTTTATTGCAATATCATATTATTAAAAAAAAAAAAATTTCCTTCGTTGACCTCAATATGCGTGCTACCCAAATGTCGCCGAACTTGCGATGGGAACTTTTGCATCCTGCGAGTTCTTCCATCCCTTCACATCGTACACGTATCCCCGTACCAACTACCGACCGCGTTAAAGAAAGCTATCAAAGACTAAGCTCCCCCATCGCTCATCCTCCTATAAAACTCCCCATAATCACCTCTTTATCTCCCCACCATAACACATTTTCTTCTTTGATCAACCCAGAAAAACGTGCCATGGTGTTCTCAGTGACCCGGAAATCAAGCGGTTTCGTCGCCCCGGCGGAGCCAACTCCGACGGAAATCCTTCCTCTGTCGATCATCGACCGCATCAAGGGCCTTCGGTACATGGTGCAATCGATCCATGTGTTCAAGAGAGGGGAGAAGGCAGCGAAAACCATCAAGGAGGCGATGTCGAAGGCCTTGGTTCCTTACTACCCATTCGCTGGCCGGTTCTTCAATGATCCAGAAGATGGCGAACTGAAGCTGGCTTGCAGAGGCGAGGGCCCGTGGTTTGTGGAGGCTGTCGCTAATTGTAGCCTTGAAGATGTGAGGTTTCTCGATCTTCCGATGATGATCTCGAAGGAGGAGTTGCTGCCGGTCATCCCGCAGGACCTCGAAGAACCCATCAACCTCCCATTCATGATGCAGGTGCGTTCATAAGACATTAATTTTTTTTTTATTAATTACTTATGCAACAGTACTCTTATCTAAATTTTCTCTTATAATATTTATTATCAAGAGGGCACGTCACCAAAGAAAAATTTTCATTTTTGTTCACAGAAAAAATTTCATTTATAAGAAAGAATCATGAAGCAGATAAGGGAAAAAGTTCTTAGAAGAGGAATTTTTTTTTTGTTGATTTTCTAATACAAAATAAATTAGCAGTAAAAGATTTTTTTTTTCTTAAATAGTATGGAAGTAATTGTAAGATAAATTGCAAACTAAAATTTGAAGCATATATTCTTTCTGAAAATTTGAGGTAAATTTGAAGCGTGAATAACCTTAGGTATTAGATTCTGTTCGCTCTTCAATTTACCTGTCATTTCTTCCAACCAAACAAAAATGACTCATATTTATCCACTCAATTTCATTTCAATTTAAAAAAAAAATTAATTAGCCGCAAAAGTTCAAAAGCTGCACATCTCTTTCTCTTTCTCTTGTTCTTTATTTTATCACTTTCATTATCTATATTCGTTAGATAGAGTCCTATTCTAGTAGATTACATACATGACCTACAATATTTTTTGATCTAATATTATCTCTTTATATAAAAGTGGCTTCATTTGGAACAATTTTTTTGTTATTTTTTTTATTTTTTATTAAAAAGTTACTTTAAGAAATAAAAAAAAAACTTGTTCCAAATGAAGCTAATATTCTAAAAAAAAAAAAAATCTCGAATTGAGCTAATAATTTATTTAGCACTAGCAAAAAAAAAGTATTATTTAAAATTTACAATTTTAATATATAATAATAGTAAAAATTTCCAAATAATATATTAATTTTTAATTAATGTCTAATTTTCAAACATTTTCCCTCTTTTAAAAAAATTACACATTGATGATCATATAACTGAACATTCTATCAAAATTAAGAAAAAAAATGGAGTTTTCTCCTGGCATAGAAAAATTTTCCTTCGATTTAAATTTGCCAATTAATTCTTCCTAAAAGATTAAACCTTTGATTAAAATTTGTGGTGTTGGCCATTTACTTTACAGGTGACAGAGTTCACATGCGGTGGCTTTGTTATGGGCCTCCTCTCACTCCACTCTTTCGCCGACGGCCTCGGCGCCGCGCAGTTCCTCCACGCGGTCGGGGAGATAGCCCGTGGGCTGCCGAAACCCATCATTAACCCAACCTGGGACCGAGATCTCATCCCCAACCCGCCCAAGCTTCGACAGCCCGGCCCTCCACCTGCTTTTCCCGACTTAAAGAATGAATACACCACCATAGACTTTTCAGCCGAAAGCATTCTACAGGTGAAAGAAGACTTCTACCATTCCACAGGCAAGCACTGCTCCACCTTCGATGCCTCCGTTGCCATGGTATGGCAGGCCCGAATCCGCGCCATCGGGTTCGAGCCCAACGAGCTGGTTCACGTCTGCTTCTTCGCCAGCACCCGTCACCTCCTCACCGATGTTCTTCCTAAGCCCTCGGAATACTACGGTAACTGCTTCTACCCGGTAACAGTCACCACCACGGCCGGAAGACTGACGGAGTCTAACCTTGCGGACGTTGTGAGAATCGTAAGGGATGCAAAGAGTGGCTTGCCGAAGGAGTTCGCCAAATGGGCCGTTGGGGACTTTAAGGAGGATCCATATGAGCTGACCTTCAGTTACAATTCTCTTTTCGTTTCAGACTGGACAAGGTTAGGGTTTAGGGAGGTGGATTATGGGTGGGGGAAGCCGGTGAATGTTATACCATTTGCATATTATGATTTCATGGCGATGGCGATCATCGGAACTGTGCCGGTGCCGAAGCAGGGGACAAGGATCATGACGCAGTGCGTTAAGAAGGAGCATTTGGAGGAATTTGAGCAGGAGATGAGGAGGTTTAAGTGAAAGAGCTAACCGTACTAACAAAAAGTGAAGTGAAAGGTCTGCATATGGGGGCATTTTATGTTTTAATTCTCTGAAAAAGTTAAGATCTTACTTTTATGGATTGCTTCTTTTTTTTTTTTAATCTCTTAATATGGTGTGCCAGCGTTTTGGTTGTTGTGCTAATGTTGTTTGAAGTGTAAAGACACGGTTTAATTGAATAAATTTAATGTTATGTTATATTAACAAAGCCAATTCGATTAATTTGATGGCAAGAGTTAATAGAAGGTGTGCAACGCAAGGGAAAAAAAAGTCTTTCTTTAGTGGATAAATTCATTAGATAAATTATGCTTAAATACTAATTTTTCGATGAAAGATGCAATAAGAAGAAAAGCCATCGAGGATATGGGGTTTTATTGTGATAGAGAAATGTTCATATTGGCTAAAAATTTTTCTGTTTTTAAGTTGTTGAGAATTAAACTTGATTTAATTCAATTGAACTCATAATCTAAAAAACTTCCTCAGAAAACTCTAGAAAACTCTAGAGTCTCATTTAAGAAGAATGTTTAAGAGGATTTTAGAAATACATTCTAAATGAGTACTGATTAGTGAATTCTAGAATATGTAACTAATAATTTTTATAAAAGAATATATTATAAAAGAATATATGAGAATATTCTAGAGAGACAATAGTAGTCATTGGATTAAAATGTGTTAGCACAATCCTAATGAGGTTGTCACTAAAATAAATAGGTGTGGTGACTTTGAGTTTTATATGAAGTAGAATCAAGAAATATAAGAGTGACATAAAAGTAAGTTTTACAGGTGTTCATCTTCTCTTTTAGAATTCCTCCTCTTACAATAGCCTTTTATAATTTTATATGAAGTAGAATCAAGAAATGTAAGTTTTACAAGTTTTTCCAACAAATGGTGTCAGAGTCAAAGTTTCTTTTTAGAGAGATGACGAGCAACAGTATGATCCCCTTCTAAGTCTCAATGCTCAACAATAGGAACTATGACAATTGGAGCATCAAGATGAATTTCCTTTTTGAAGCGCAAGATGTATGGGAGATGGTAGAAAAATTAAAGGCTATAATGAGCCACAAGATCTCAAATTTATCCCAAACTCAAAAGGATAGTATAATAGATTAAAGGAAGAGGGACAAGGAGGCTCTCTATCTAATCTTTTAAGGATTAGATGATGATGCTTTTGAGAAGATTTTTGATGAGAAGTCTGCTAGAGAGGCACGTGAGAAGCTTCAGATCTCTTATAAAGGAGTAGAGCTAGTCAAGAATGTGCGTCTTCAAACATTAACAGGTGAATTCGAAGCCTTATATATAAAAGAAGTCGAAGTCATCTCTGACTACTTTACTAGAGTCTTAACCTTTTCTAATCAATTAAAAAGAAATGGTGAGAAGCTAGAAGATGTATGAATTATGGAAAAAATCCTTTGATCTTTAGATTCAAAGTTTGATCATATTGTTGCCATTATTGAAGAAACCAAAGACTTAGAGGCTATGACAATCGAGCAACTCCTAGGTTCCTTACAAGCCCATGAAGAAAATAAAAAGAAGAAGCAATTGATCATGGAACAACTCCTGAAGACAAAAATTAATTCACCAAAGAAGAGAGCCTCGAGTATGATATAATCCAACAAGCTAGGAAGAGGTTGTCGACGAGGACGATAAGGCCATGGTCATTGACGTGGACGAGGTTGGAGCTCTAACAATGAAAAGAATAATAATACAAATTTTGGATAAGGAGAAAGTTCAACAAGAGGACATGGAAAAGGAAAATCATGACCAAGGTTTGACAAATCTCAAATAATGTAATACAACTGTAAAAAAATTGATCATTATACTGCAGAATGTAGAACTTCCAATAACAATAAAGTTGAAGAGAATGCTAATTATGTGGAAGAGAGAAGTCAACAAGATGCACTTTGGTATTGACGTATAAGGTGAATGAAAAAGGTGAAGATAACACATGGTATATGGATACCTATGCAAGAAACCATATGTGTGAAGAAAAGCATGTTCATGGAACTTGACGAGTTGATGAGTGGAAATGTATCCTTTAGAGATGAGTCCAAGGTTGATGTGAAGGGAAAAATTAATATTCTTATTCGATTGAAGAATTTAAAGCACTAATTCATTTATAATGTATGTTATATGTCGAATATGAAAAGTAATATTCTATGTTTAGGTTAATTCTTAGAGAAATATTATGATATTCATTTAAAAGATAAAAATATTTTTATAAGAGATAATATTTATGAGCAACCTAATTGCAAAGAAAATAATATAAAAAAAACAGAATATTCTTGCTCAATATTCAAAATCTTATTTCTAAGTGTCTCAAAGACTACTACAAAGACCCATCTTGGCTCTGACATCTTCAATTTGAGCATCTTAATTTTGGAGGATTGAAGCTATTATCAAAGAAAAAAAAATGGTGAGAGGTCTGCCTACATCAATCACCCAGGCCATATATATAAAGACTACTTGCTGGGAAGCCATTGAGGAAGAGCTTTCCAAAGGAGTCAAATTTGAGAGCATAAAAGCCACCTGAACTCATACATACAGATGTATGTGGTCCAATCAAGATAAGCTCTTTTGGTAAGAGTAATTATTTCTCTCTTCATAGATGATTTTTTAAGAAAATCTTGGATATATTTTTTAAGCATAAATTTTAATTAGGAATATAATTATTGTTACAATTACTAGTAATGACAAATTTATTTATTACATCTCTTTATAAAAATTTTTAAATTAATTAAATAATTTTTGTAATTTAATAATACTACTTAATTATTTAAATTTATTAACGTAAATTTAATGCACGTGTAACTATACTAGTAAAGAACAAAACTCACATAAAATTAAATACATAAAATAAAGTAAAAAAATAATAAATAAATTAAAATAAGAAATAAATATGTATGCATAAACTCATAAACAAATAAAATATAATCAATTAAATTTAAGTTAATTAAATAAACATAAATAAATAAATAATTCCAAAATAAATAAGTAAAATAAAAAAAAATAAAAGAGAAATAAAAAAAATTCTAAAAGTAAATAAAAAAATAAAATAAAAACAAGAAAGATTAATTAAAATATTTTTTTTTTCAAAATAAATTAAGTAAAACATCTTAATTAATTAAAATAAATTATTTAAAATGAAAATCATAGAACATTTAATAAAATGAAATTGAAGTATCTAAAACTAAATCAAAATTCAAATTAATCAGATTAAAAGAATTAATTAATAAATCAAAAAAACAAAATACATAATTTCAACGAGCATGAAAGCTATATGCAATTAATTCATTCTTTAGCGGTATCAAATCCTTTACATTTGAAAGCCTAGGACCTCTTAATTAAGAGCTTCAAGTCTTGGAGTGAATAATTAACAAGGTTTTTTAAAACCTAAATAAATAAAATGTTAAATAAAATGGAAGTCTCTATACACTTGATTTGATCCCTTAGGGGATTCAAATGCATATATTACAATTATGGGCCAAGGACTTATAGATCAATGATTCCAAGCACTTTAGAATTGTTGATCACTATGCTCTTTAAATTTTAAAGCTAACTAATTTAAATACTTAAAAAATTATCAAAAAATAAACCATTAAATAATTAAAACTTATATTTAAAATAAATATACTTGACCTTAAACAAATAAATGTAAATTCAAGACAACATAAATAAAAATTAAATCTAGGACTTTTCGAAGCTAAACAACTTAATATACACTTTAGATGATTTGCTAATACAACTAACTCTAGCCTAAACATGTTAAATGTGTTAAATATATTTGATCAATAACCTGTTAAATGCTGCAAGAGATATACTCAAAATGATGAAAAATAACTTATAGAATAATGGTTCCCAAACAAGATACATGAAAAAAAACATAAAGGCATTCTAGGAACCTAACCCAAAAAATCCACAAAGAGTAGCATGACCACATAATGAAAGCCAAAATATAATAGGAGCCAAAAAATACATTTATGCTAAGGTTATTTGTCAAAGTTTTTCTCGATAATGATTTTGAATGTGTCTAAGTTGGATAACATTTCTGCTTGAACTCGAACTCATATTGAAGATCTCGCCAGTCATTAACATTGAAGAACTCTCTAGGGTTACCATCAGGTAATACCTCGTTCATCTGCTCTTTATAAAAATTCATAATGAAATTGTCAAACTGCGGAGACCAATCACTATATAAAATTATATGCTCAATATTAAGATGACTATAATCAATATCAGACGGGGAATGTCCACTATCTCTGTGGCATTTCATCTCATGGTATCGCAAATGTAAGAAATGAGGGTTGACAAGGTGACCATTAACTTCCTACAATATAATTTAAAGAGATTTATAACCGATGGCATTTAAGCTTATGAAGTTTTACCCTAATTAATTAACTTGGCGTGCATATCCTAAAGGCAATCATCCTCGTCTTCCGACCATTCATGTACGCAACACCTAAATATCTCATTCCGATTAGCCTTCTGCTCTAACGGACTATCACCGACTCGTGCCATGCAAGCATGCATTCTTTGGCTTGCATCATCGAACCTTTCTTCTTTTAAGACGCCTGTAATCATCTCAATACATTACCAAAACATTTTGAATAACTCAAACAATAACTCAACAACTATATTCAATGTGTCTACCATTCACCATTTATATAGCTGAGATTAAAGATATTCAACAAACACTAGCAGTCAAAAATCTCACAGCTCATCTGATGTGATGTGTAATTGCATGGTAAATGATTTATCATTGCAAAATAATTCTGACAATATCATGATCCTATGTTTTTAAAGATATTTTTAAAAAAGATGGTTCAAATATCCAAAATTAGTACATACAAATATTCAAAAAAGATATCACAAGGTTTGAATATTTTTTTTTTTAAATATCTCCAAAGTGTAGATACACTCAATAAATTATACCAGGTTATTTTATCAATGTATAATTTCTAATTTTCGAGAAATTGCATTAATTAAGTCATGTAACCTAACCAATATAAATTTAATTTATACAAAAATTTTGGACAAGGATAAATTGCCTGTTTAAAGGGTCATTTAGCCTCTAAATCAATTATGAATTTGAATTTCCTTTTTTTTTAAACTTTGTACTAATGGCTAAGTTGCCTGTTTATTGGGCGATTTAGCCTTTAGACCCAAGCTCATTAAACGGACGATTTAACCTACAACATGTA